GAAGATGAATCCCTAAGATTGGAAGGCACTCAAGATATAACTAGGGAAGAGTTGTCTATTCAAAGTAGGTACCCTAGTGGCATGGATGGAGTAAAGCTATTCGGACTTTCATTTGCTGAGGAAGCACAACTCAAAATGAGAAGAGATGACTACAAACACCCATTAGTAATCAGAAAATGAGATGCACACAGTATGCAAATTGAAAGTCACCAAAAGTGAAATAGAATGCATAAAGCTTGGCATCCTAGGCATTAGTGAGAATACAGGGACTGGTACTGTTTTGAATTTGACAGTCATATAGTGTACTATATCAGGAATGACAAATGTTAGAGTAATGGTATTGCTTTCATTGTCAAAAGGAGCATTTCGAGATCTATCTTGAAGTGCAATTCTGTCTGTAATAGGCTAATATTCATACACCTATAATGAAGCCCTAACCAACTCTATGGCGCTTAACAACAGCAACAACAACATAATGAAGACCTGGTGTGGCTCTGCAGGAAAAACACTCCACTGCTATGTCGGTTTAAACTGCAAGGTTGGTAGTTCAAACTCACCAGCCTCTCCTTGGAAACCCTATACTGGGTCATTATGGGTTGGAACCAGCTCAACAGCACTTAACAACAACAATAACATAAGGAAGACAAACAATGCAGCTACTTCAGATTTATTAAACAACCACTAAAACCAATGATGAAGAAATTGAAAAATGCTACCAACTTCTTCAGTCTGAAATTGATCAAACCTACAATTAAGAAGCATTGATAATTACCTGTGATTACAATGTAGAAGTTGGAAACAAAAAGGAAGAATCAGCAGTTGGAAAATAAGAACTTGGTGATAGAAATGATGCTACAGATTACATGACAGACTTTTGCAAGACCAGTGACTTATTCATTACAAATACTGTTTTTCAACAACACAAACAGCCACTATACACAGTGATTTCAGCTGATGGAATACAGGAATCAAATCAACTTCATCAGAGAGAGAGATGATGGAAAAACTCACTGTTAGCCAAAACAAGGTTAGAGCTCTATTATGGAACAGACCCTCAATTGCTCATGTGCAAGTTCAGGTTGAAGATGAAAATTAAAACAAGTCCATGAGAGCCAAAATGTGACTTTGAGTACATCTCACCTGAATTTACAGACCATCTGAAGAATAGATTTGATGCATTGGATACTAAAGACTGAAGACCAGATAAATTTTGTGATGACATCAAGAAGATCATACATGAAGAAAGCAAAAAGATCATTAAAAATATAGGGAAGAAAGAAAAAGAACAAAATGGATGTCTGAAGAGAGCTGTAAGAAATCAAGTAAAAGAACTGAACAGAAAATTTCAAAGGGCAGCTTGAGAAGACAAAGTTGAGTTTTATGAAATTTGCAAAGACCTGGAGTTAGAAAACAAAAGGAAAGGACATGCTCAGAATTTCTCAAGCTGAAAGAATTGAAGAAAAAATTCATACCTTGAATTGCAATTTTAAAGGATTTTTATGAGCAAAAAATTGAATCACTCAGAAAGCATCATAAAATGGAAGGAATACACAGTCATTGTACCAAAAAGGACTGATGATACTGAAAGGAATCCAAACTGCACCGAAGGCATCGGTGAAAAAATAATCTAGGGTGTGAAGGAATTCAAATTGAAACATTTAACACATTCACTGGAGGCACTCTCTAGCCTGTGTCAAGAAGTTTTGAAGAGAATCATCTGACTAATCGATTGGAAGAGATCCATATTTGGGTTCATTCCAAAGAAAGGTGACTCAACAAAATGCAGAAATTACCAAATAATAACATTAATATCACATGTAAGTAAAATTTGGCTGAAGATAATTCAAAAATGGTTGCAGTAGTATATCAACAGGGACTTGTTAGAAAGTCACACTGGATTTACAAGAGTACATGGAACTAGAGATATCATTGCTGACATCAGACGGATCTTGGCTGAAATCAGAGAACACCAGAAAGATGTCTACTTGAGCTTTATTTATTATGCAAAGGCATTCAATGTTGTGGATCACAACAAACTATAGATAACACTGGGAAGAATGGGAATTTCAAAAAGCTAAATTGCGTTCAGGCAGAACCTGTACATCCACCAAGAAGCAATTAAAAAAAATAGAACAAGGAAATACTGAGTGGTTTTAATTAGGAAAGGTGTGTGTTAGTGTTTACCACACTCCTTCAATCAGTATGTTCAGCAAATACTCTGAGAAGTTGAACTATATGAAGAAGAATGCTGCATCAGGATTTAAGGAAGACTCGTTAACAACCTGCAATATGCATATGATCTTGCTTATCTTGCTTACTCAAAGTGAAGATGACTGGAAGCACTTACCGATGAAGAGCAAAGACCACAGCCTTCAGTATGGATTGTACCTCAATATAAAGAAAATGAAACTACTAACAGATAACTATACCAATACTACACAGGGTCATCATGAGTCAGAACCAATTCAACGACACTTAACAACAACAATGTACCAGTAAATAACATCTTGATAAATGGAGAAAAGATAGAAGTTGCCAAAATTTAATTTTACTTGGATTCACAATCAGTGCTCATGGGAGCAGAGTCAAGAAATCAAAGGATGTATTGTATTGGGTAAAAGACCTCTTTAAAGTGTTCAAGAACAAAGATGTCAGTTTGAGAACTAAGGTGCACTTGACCCAAATCATGGTATTTTGAGTTGTCTCATGCATATGAAAGTTGGACAATGAATAAGGGATGCTGGAGAAGAATCAATGTATCAAGTTGGGTCTGATATTTTGCCTAAAGAGGTCTTTTAGCACAGATTTACCTATTGTAATATGTTTTTGATTTCTTGACTGCTTCCATGGGTACTAATTATGGATCCAAGCAAAATGAAGTCTTTGCTAACTTCTCTGTTTTCTCCATTTATCATTATATTATTTATCAGTCCAGTTGTGGTGATTTTGTTTGCTTTAGGTTGAGGTGCAATCTATACAGAAGGGTGTAGTCTTTCTTTTCACCAGTATTTTAAGTCCTTTTCACTTGTATCCTCTGCATATTTTGGGTTGTTAAAGTATCTTTCTCCAATCCTGATATGCCATATTCTTCTTCATATAATCCTTCGTCTTGGATTATTTGCTCACTATACATATTGAATAAATATGGTGAAAGAATAAAACCCTGGTACACATCTTTCCTCATTTTAAATCATTCAGTATTCCCTTTTTCTAACAACTGCATCATGGTCTATGTAAGGGTTCCTCATGAGCACCATTAAGTGTTTGGGAATACTTATTATTTGCAATATTATCCATAGTTTGTCATGATCCACACAGTCAAAACCCTTTGTGTAGTCAATAAAGCACAAGTAAACATCTTTCAGGTATTCTCTGCTTTCAGCCAAGAGCCATCTGATGTCAGCAATGATATGCCTTGTTCCATGTCCTCTTCTGAATCTGCCTTGAATTTCTGGAAGTTCCCTGTCAATGTACTGCTGGTCAGTTTTGAATAATTTTCAGCAAAATTTTACATCCATTAATGATAATGTTTCAGTTGATATTAATTTTACTTGAATGATTTGTTATTAACGATAAACAAATATTTCTGCATTCCTTTGGATCACCTCTCTTTGGTTGGTCAGGTAGCTGTCCTCCAAATTTCTAGGCATAGATGAGTTAGCACCTCCAGTGCTGCATCAATCTGTTGAAAGATTTCAATTCGTTTTCCATCAATTCTTAGATCCTAGTTTTTCACCAGTGGCTTCAATGTAGCTTAGATTTCTTTGTTCAGTACCACTGGTGCTTGAACGTATGTTGTCTTTTGAAATGGTGGAATATTGAGTTTTTTTTTTTTTTTTTTTTTTGGTACAGTGACTGTGTATTCTTCCATTTTCTTTTGATGCTTTATGTATCATTTAATATTTTGCCCATGGTGGTTGGGTGCCATCCAGTTTATTTTGAATCATAGTGACCCTGTATAGGGTTTCCAAGGTTGTAAATTTTTATGGGAGCAGAAAATCTCATCTTTTTCCCACGGAGCTACTGGTGGATTTGAACTGCTGACCTTGTGATTAGTAACCCAATGTGTAACCCACTCTACCATGGTTCCTTCACGAGTATGGAAAAACAAGAGGTAATGTAGTTCTTATATTTTAAAAAAGAAACTAAAAACAAAATGCTATCAGTAATTACGTGCAGATGGTGTGCTCATGGGTGACTTGTGTCATCTTTTTGTATTTTCCAAATTCCCTAAAATGGAATCATTTTCAAATTAGAAATAAATGTTAACAGTTCACTATATTTGAAAGCTATTGCTCTACTTAGAGATCATAGTGGCAGACTATAATAAATGACATTATAGTAATGGGGCTATAACATTTTATGTTTTTTCTTTTTAAAAACAGATTTACCATAAGCTTCCAGGGTTTTTACGTCTGATTATGGATTCCTTGAAAAAAGACAAACTAACCTTCTCTAATGATGAAAAGTAAGCTAATAATCAAAAGAAGTCCTTTTTTTACTATATCCACAGGATTGTGAGGTAGTTATTGAATGCCTAGCCATTCAGGCTGATGAGAAGTCTGACTATTATGGGAACTAAGAATTGAATTCAGGCATCCATAGATTTTTAGTATGTGATGTTTCCTTCCTGCCTAACTCAATCATTTTCAATCAGTCCTTTATCTGATGTTCTAAGAGAAGTTGTAGGTTTCAAGTATAAAGTGGCTCTGTATTGGAATCGACTCAATGCCACTTAACAAAGTGGCTCTGTAGGATAAGTGCTTGACCACAAGGTCAGTTTGAACTGCAAGGTGGTTCAAACTCACCAGCCACGCCTCGGAAACCCTGTAAGGTAGCTATGGGTTGGAAATGACTCGACAGCATTTAACAGTATCTAGACTAACGTACTTGGGTCTCTACATAAAAACATACATACATATACACACATACATATGGTAGTGGTAGTGTGCCATTCCAACTCATAGCAACCCTCATAGTGAGGCTTTACGTATATGAGAAGAAAGCCTCATCTTCCTCACAGTGTGGCTGACACATGTCTGTTAGTAGCCCAACACGTAACTAACTATATGCTCCCAGGGCACTGTGTATATATGTGTGTGTGTGTTCATGTGTATGCATAATTTTTTTTTTTTATTCCAACACAATTGAGTGGCAGTAGATGCTGTGATGGGGTGGGTGGGTTATCAGAATTTGGGAGACTAGGGAATATTGATTTAGAAAACTCCAGGGGTAGGGGACAAATCACTTTTCATGCCATAGCTTTTTTTGAATCACCAAACTAGGAGACTGGCCAGATCTGTTAATTTGCACATTTACCCTTTACGTATATGGGGGGAAGGAAATCATTACTTCAAAGAGGTCTGTTCAGTCAAATAGTAGTTTGTGATATTTTGGGGCTTTTTTGTTTTATAGTCATTTGACTAAAAGGAATTATCTTTTTTGGGCAAACCTCATGCTTTGCTAAAGCTTTAAATTAGAAGATGAGAAATCCCAAAGTATAACTCTTGAACTGAATGCTTTTCCTCCACTTGTCCTTAGTGTTAAGTTCCTGTCTTCTCCCCTTCTCATTTTACATGGAGAGGATGATACAACAGTGCCTTTGGAATTTGGAAAAAAGGTGAATTCACATCTCACTGCTGACTGAAAATGTGCTTAATTTCATCATTTTCTCTCTGACATTATTGGGGATTCCTGCAGGTCATACTGCCCTGTAAGGGTGGGGGCATGTGTTCCTTACTCAAGGTTTGTGGGATTTGCAAGTATATAGAAGGTTCTAGGCTGTTAAAACAAAGAACCTCTACTAGTTTGGATCCATAGACAATTCCTAATCTCCTAAAAGTCAGGCCTGAGTAGGGGAATGATGAGGTTATCTAAGTATATCCCATCAGCCTTGTGGATTCAGTTCATGAGCTCAGAGACAATACCCATGTCTCTGACTTAATGGGATTAATTTCCCTAGTTGGCTGTTTTGGCACCCATTTAGGAAATTTGACTAGAAAACACATGACTTTGATTCCCAAAACCTCTAAGTCTGCCTTTTCGATCCTTTTCAGGTTTATGAAATTGCATACAATGCATACAGGGATAAAGAGAGGGTGAAGATGGTTATCTTTCCTCCTGGCTACCGCCACAACTTACTTTGTAAATGCCCCATGCTAGTAATAACAGTAAGGTAAGAGCTGCTTTGCTAAATGTAATTACCTTTCCCTTTAAGGCAATAAGGGGTGCTCTGGCTTGCTTAGACTATGAGGTGGGGCAAGTATGTGACCTGACCTAGGTTATTTTTCCTGCAGAGATTTCCTGAGCAAGCAGTGGGCATGATGCAATGATCCTCGAGCAGCAGAGATCTTAGATGAAGACTTGGTCTAAACGCCACCTGGGATGTGTGTTTTTTGATGTAACATATTACTGGGTTGCTTGGATGAACTGAAGTCATTGACATTTATACAAGTCATTTTCATAAGGGAAAGTATTGATGCAGGGTGATGTGTTTTATCATTTAGCTTTGTTAAACCATGTCAAAATCTCACTGGGGAAAATCAGAACTTGATAAGGTTTAGATACCAATTAATAATGTATACTTAACAAAACATCCAAGAGATACCTGTGAATAAGGTGGTCTCTAACTTAGACAACAAGTAAAATAATAAGGTGCTTCAGTGTAATGAAATCATTTGTATTTTATTTTGCTGAGTTACTTTGATATATAAAAGTTACAAACAATTTTGCAGCTTTCTGGATAGCCCAAGGGAACGTACTAGCAAACTACCCAGTCTTAATATAAGTTTTGGCACTCCTGTAACCTTGGAATTGAAATATTTTTTTTAATGCCATAATACAGTTAGACCCTTTTCCCGCCTCATTCCCAAAGATACTTAACTAAACTACTGCAAACATAACAAAAAAAAAAATCAAGGAATGTTTAAAAATTCAAGTTCAGCAATAAGCTGTTTTTTTTAAAAGACAGTTCATAACTCACTTTCCAGTGGCTTTGTTCACCCCATTGCTAGCTTCATTAGACAGGGAAATCTTGAGATCTGAAGGCTCCATGTTCCAGATGTCCTTGGCATATTCTTTAATTGTTCTGTCACTGGAGAATTTTCCGGAGGAAGCTATATTTTTGAGTACCATTGTATTCCAGGCCTTTGGATTCTGTAAACAACACGCATGCAAATAGTATCCAAGGCCAGATTGCCTTAGTGAGTTTTATGATGGCTGGCTGGAAACATTTCATGAATAAAGTGACAGGAATAAATTGTAGTAAATCCTAAATAGACACAGTACACAGTTGACAGGTAGGTAGGACAGACTCCTATTTAGAGTTTAAGAAATGTTGAAACCTCAACTATAGAAGAAAGGGGGGGACTTAACACTGATTGTTTGCCAGGTACCAGGTTCCAGGTAAAGAGCTTTAACCTATGTCTCACAAAGGGTGAATATACTCTAAAACATTGGTTATAATGTAGACCTAAGGACTTAGCTCTACTTCGTTTTTCTAGAGTTAGATGACCCAGTGAATTTACACTGAGTTCCAAATACTCTATTGTGGTTTTAAGATAGGGTGAATCTTTAAGGTTTTATCTCTAAAACAAACAAATAAAAACCTCATGATATTTATATGAAAGAATATGATGAAAAGGTATTTATTTCTACAGCCGCATGCTTTATAAAGACCTATAAAAGTTATTCAAAGAGTATATTTATTGTATAAGTTACTATAGTAAAACCGTTTTCTTCATACTTGGGAAAATAAGGGACTGAAAAGCTTCCTCTCTATAATTCCTTGAACTGTTGAAATGGAAATGGAATACATTTTGCTGTCAGGGTGGATATGTTTTCTAAGCCTCAGCAAACACATTGGTTATTCAGAGTAGAAACTACAATCATATATTAGCCCCAATGCACCGATGAACAAGAATAATGTGAATAGAATGCTGAGGTTTTATGTGGGCATCCTTCGGATATGGACCATAGTTTTCAACAGAGGAGACTCATTTATTAAACTGACATTCACATTTGTCTTTGCCCTTGTTCGTATTTTTTTCAAATGACCTTTCTTATTTCATATTTTCCTGCGGTTTCATTTTTTTTCCCTTTGAGTGCTGGTGATACAGTGGTTAAAGTGCTTGCCTGCTAAACAGGTCGGCTGCTTGAACTCACCAACCATTCTGCAGGAGAAAGGTGTGGCAGTCTGCTTATGTAAAGATTCCAGCCTTGGAAACCCTGTGGGGACCGGTCTGCTGTTTCCTAGAGGGTTCCTATGTGTTAGAACTGACTTGATGGTATTGGGTTTTTGCTCTGGTAGCCATTCTACATACAAAGCATCATGGAGGCCAATGGGAACAGGTAAGAGGTATCATTCTCTTTCCTGTCTTTGAAGTCTTGAGGACTGTGTGTGGTTTTCTCTCCATGTAGTACGTCACTCGGTATTGCCCCACCACACTCAAGGCCATCAACTTGAACCTACTCTGGTCTTCATGCTGTGTTGGGAGACTGGATATGATTCTATTAGAAGATAAGGGTTGCTGAGCTTCACAGATATTAATCGGCATAGTGGTGCTTATGAAAATACCTTCCCTGCAGATGGAGTGGTTGGCAAACATTTTTGGGTTTTGATATGTGTGAAAATATGTTAGTTCCTTTCTTCTGATGACTGTGGGTTTCTTCAGCTGTTCCTTTTCTATTCAAGTTGTTGGGTTAAATAATCAGTTTTGGATCCTTTCCTGATTTGTGCATTTATTGCTATAAATTTTCCTCAGAACTGCTTTTGCTATGTCTCAGAAGTTTTGTTATGTTCCATCTTTGTTCTCATTACTTCTAAGAATTTTTTACTTTTATCCTATAACCCTGTCTCATTATTAACTTCTAGTTTTATAGCATATGGTCAGAGAAGGTGGTTTGTATTGTCAATGATTTTGAATAGATTATGGCTTACTTTGTACCCTAGGAAGTGGTTTATTCTGGAGACTGGTTCATATGTGCTGAAGAAGGTGTTTCATACTGCTGCTGGATGGTGTGCTCTGTGTGTGAGGGTAAGTAGGTTGATGGTGTTAGGACTGAGTTATTTAGATCTTCTCTCTAGTTTTCTGTCTCTTAGAGTGGGGTGTGAAGTAACCTATGATTGTAGAACTTAAGTGCTATTTTGTGTATTTTGGCACTTTGTCATTAGGTGTGTAAGTACGATTTATTGTCTTCTTGATCGTTTAATCAGAGACCACCACTGGTTAAGTTGTGCTGTCTTTTTGATTCCTGTACATACCCTCCTTAGATCTGGTTCATGCAATCCTCTTTGCTTCATTCCAGGTGCATCTATACAACTCTCTGTAATCTGTCAAATTGCCTTCCTGTGCTTCCCACCTGGGATCATGGCTGGCTTTGTCTCTCTCCTAATTCACCGTTTTAATTCAGTTTCTTCTTATCAATGTCAAAGAATTAGCTCAGTCTTTCTATTTGCTCAGGGTCCTAGGATTGCCATCTTTATCTGCTACACTTGGTCCCTCAGGTTTTTGCTGTAGAGGGACAGCATGATGTGTCTGTCTTAACTGTCATTTCCTCATTTAAATAACTAATAAACAAATCTCCTTTCTAAACATTTAAATGAATAGGGGTTAGTCCTTAATCCAGTAAAATAATACCCAGCCTAGGACTCAAATGAGCCAATTAAATAAAGTAGCCTTCAGGATGTGCCTGTTACATGGTGGTGGTTGTTGGGGTGCCATCTGTTTGGTTTCAACTAATAGCAGCCCTGCATACAGGGTTTGAGAGGTGGTATATATTTTTATGGGAGCAAAAAGCCTCAATTCTCTCCCAGGGAGTGGCTGTTGGGTTTGAACTGCCAAACTCTGGTTAGCAATCCAATGCTTACCCAGAGCACCACCAGTGCTCTTTATTAGATGGTAGGTTTTTAATAAACACTGAATAATTTATGATACTTTTGCTTGGGCATTAAAAATAAAAACTGCTCCTGAACCTTTTTCTGAACTTGGGCAAGTTTTTGGTCTGAGTGATTTCTCTTTTTCTGATTTGTTAGTGGGCTCTTGCTATTCAGATGTAGTAAGAAAGAAAGAGTTTATATTAACCACACAAACTGGTTTCTTTTATAAATCTTGGCAAAGTACTCACCATGTATAGCTGACTGACTTTTTCTTGACACTTGACATAGGCTTCGTAGTCTGCAAAGACCTTAAACCTTTTTTTAGTGGTTGAAGGAAAAAGAGCAACAGAAAACTTCATTAAGAGATTCATGCTAAGATGTCATTTAAAATTTCCTTTTGTTTAATTTAGATATGGATGGTTGACCACCAAGCTTGTTTCCACTCATAAGAATTGTAAGCAGCTCCCAACCTATGATAGTGATTCCATATTAGTTCCTAAGAATGTCACCATACGGATGCATATGAAAGCTGGGCACACCAGTGGGTTATTTTTAAACTTACATTATTAGTAGAGAAAACCTAAAATTTCACTTTAATCCTGTGTTAGTTGATCAGGTCACAAGTCTGTACTGATCTACTTGGGTGGTTTGTTAGTTTAAGATGTTCTTTTACTCTTTTCACAGCCCAAAGAGCCCTGTCTTGTGACAGGAACTCACCTGTCATGGTAAAAGAGCATGTTGATTATGTCTTTGAAGAGGTCCGGCTGCTTGGGAGAAAAGAAGCCATTGTCAATTTGATCAATGACCAGCTTCAGCTCTGGAAGTGCCTCGTAGTATTCCTTTGCCTGGTATCTTTGGAAAGAGGGTAAGACGAAAAAGGTTCTTGTAGTGTGTGCGATTAAAAAAACACTCGGTAACACAGTAGCTATGTAAATACATGACTTGGGAGAAACTGTTGCAGATAATTTTGGCTACATCCTGAAGTTTTTATTTTTCCCCTAAATTTGAGCAATAGTGGATTATGACAATTCTAGCCATCAAGCAATAATAGTCTAATCTGTTAGAATACAGCAATATCCATTTCATACTGAACTGAATAGCTCACAGACCGATGCTATAACGGTTTTATCACATAGCAGCTACTCCTTGTACCATTGAGTTTAATAAGACCATCTGTTTCCAGGAGGCTCCCCTGGCCCCACATCCAAGATGGTCTGCTGCCGTTTCTCATGAGATGCAGCTTCAGTGAGATATTCTGTGGTCAGAAAGTTCTCTGGGCTCCTGTATCTCCTAGAGGTGACCTGTCTAATATAGAGGAGATGCTTACTTACCCTTTCTTGTCCAAAGCTGCCACGTCATCTACCCTCATACCAAAGATGAACAGGTTCTCTTCCCCAGCTTCCTCTGCCATTTCTACGTTGGCCCCATCCATGGTCCCAATGGTCAGGGCCCCATTCAGCATAAACTTCATATTGCCTGTACCTGAGGCTTCAGTGCCTGCGGTGGAAATCTGCTCCGACAAATCTGTGGCTGGAATAACTACAAGCAAGGAATGTTTGTGATTCTGTTTCTCTAGATTTACTTGTATTGTAGCTGAGCATTTACCTAGCTAGTCTAGTTTGATCACCAAAGTAGTACATGTATATCAAAATTAAGATTCAAATTATATATAAAAGCACAAATCTTTTTTTCTTTGAATCAAACAATCATTTGTCTTTTGTTGTTGTTGTTGTTAATGCCATTTCTGAGTGGTTATCTCTTTATATGTAAACTTTAGTCTCTCCTGACTTCACCTCGCTTCCTTTACTTTCCCTGCAGGAGAACAAGCAACACAGTGAGGTGCCCTTAGAATTAAACTCCTACCCTCTGACCAGTCAGTCTGATTTACACACAAATGAGTGTTGCCTGAGGCCTCTTCTGACTGCAAAGGTCAGGACCCACTCTCTGATTAACTTTGAGAGCAAGCTGGATTCTAGTTCTCTTCATCCGGACCCACCTGAAACCCTGGCTCTTATCTCTGAGACTTGCAGACAGCTCTGAAACAGTAACATCAGAAGACCCAAGAGTGGAGGTTCCTTTATCTTTTCATCATGGAAAGAGGATGAATACTCAGTTGGCATTTGCATGTGGATGGTGCTTGGTGAGCATATGATACAAATAAGCAAATTCCTCAAAGCTGAAGAAAGGATATGGGTATCTTGTCAATCTGGCTGTCCCCAGGCGGGAGCTCCATGCATGCTCCTGGAGTGCCCATCTAAGGCATAGCTAAGACTTGTACTTAGCAGCCTGACATCTGTCCTTTTGTCATGCTGCTACATGAACAAAAAGGAGAGCCCTTCCTGCCACACAGTGATTAGAGGAAAACCTGGAGACCAGGGAAACTCAAGACCTTCCTCTCTTCAAAACAGGACAGTTTGTAGCAAACTGCATCAAACTAAAATGTCAAGGCCTCTGGCCTCCTACTCTAGTGTACTCAGCTTTTTCTAGCTGGTGTAGGAAAAGTCACTTGCAAATACAAGTACAATCCTATGACAGTGACCTTTGGTCAGATCAATCTCTTTGTCAGTTGAATCCCCTTAAAAGCTCTTGGCTGAAGCAGCCCTCATTTTTGTGTTCAGGTCAGCCATTACAATGTCTATACCGTGTAATCCATCCTTACTATCTGTCCTGGCCCCAACACGTTTTGTAATGAAGGAAGTACCTTTTTCAGCAAGAGACACTCTGTAGTTCTCCAAAAAGATGACTTTTAACTTGCTTCCAATCATGGGGTCGTTGTTCACCACATCTGCTACTGCAGTGATCAGCTTTATGATCATTTTGGCCATGTGGTATCCTGGGGCAGCCTTGGAGGAGAATATCAAACACATTGACATAATGCAGTCATGATGAAATGGAGAAATGACAGGAGATTAGAGCCACAAGCCCTTAGTTAATGGAACCAACTTACTTTGCCACCAATTATAACTGTTCTGGGTACAAATAACTTCGTAGGCTCTTTTTTAATACCTGAAAAAGAGAAGTACATGGAGGAAGATAGTTGGTGGCTGGGACAGAGGACCCATACTGAGATTGTTTCTTCCACCTGCAAGGGGCAGAGGGCCCGGGCTTGTCAGTGTCTGCAGGGCCGACTCACGGTTGTACATTGTGATGATGTGCAGGCAGTTCAAGAGCTGCCGTTTGTACTCATGTATCCTCTTCACATGCACGTCAAACATGGAGGATGGGTTGACCTTTACTTTGTACTCCTTCTCCAGGAACTGTGAAAACTTCAGCTTGTTCTCCTGTTGAGAGAGTGAGTGCATGGCGCCAGAGAGCCCTTTCAACTTAGATGCACTGGGTGGTATGTTTTCCAAAACTGAATACAAACTTTCAAAGCAGTTGCCTGGGAGGGGCTCCCACACCCTGGAGCCTCACCTGTTTCACATTGGCTATTTCCCGGAGGAAGCTGTCGTCACCCAGAAAGCTGTGGAGCTGCGTCAGCTGGCTCAAATCTTTCACGTATTCTTCCCCGATTTTCTTTAGATTTAAAGGAAAAGGTAATTTTATTTCAGGAGATGGTAAGTAAACCCACCTGGAGCAGTTTCTGTAGGTGGATAGTGGTTGAGGGACTACAGTGGTATGTATAATCCATGTAATACCCAGCACACAGAATGGCCTCACTCATCCACCGAAGAGGCTAGAGATTCTGTGTGGGAAGGTAGTGGCATTCAAGGGTCACCACAGGAAATTTACTAAAAGGGTGCTCCTGGTGGGGCACTGTGAGCTAATGCGTCAGACTGCAAAGTCATTTGAACTGCAACATTAGTGGTTCAAGTTCACCAGCTGCTCCTTGGAAACCCTATACAGGGTCGCCATGGGTTGGAATCGACTTGACGGAACTTAACAACAATGAAGGACCCAGGCTTCATTCTTTTTATGAGCTTTGTCATCCTCTTTGACTACATGTTAAAGGCTGTAGCATCGATTCGGACTCATAGTGACCTAGTGTATGGTTTTTAAGGAACAGCTGGTGGGTGTGAACCACCCGCCTGTGGTTAGTAGTCCAGTGGTTATCCTACAGCGCCACACCAGGACGCTTTTGATAAAATAGGAATATCATTTTCTAGCCTAAGCATACTATGGCCTCTGCTACTGCTAGGCGTACTGTCCTGGCTAAGACAGTTTGTGGGTTCTAGTGCAAAATGGGCCGAGCTCTGGTAGCATAGTGGTTACGAATTGGGCTGCAGACCGCAAGGTCAGCAGTTTGAAACTACCAGCTATTCCAAGGGAGAAAGATGAGGTTTTCTGCTCCCGTAAAGATTTACAGCCTTGGAAACCCTGTACAGGGTCACTATGAGTCGGTACCGACTCCACAGCACATAACAACAACAACAAGTGCAAAATGAGAACACAGGGCCCCGTTGTTCAACAGTTACTAAGCCAAGTATGATGTATTGCTGTGTGTGGAGCCATGTGGGACTGTAGGAGTTCCATGCTGATGAAGCTGTGCATGCTGCACAAACTCTAAATCCACTCATGTGTCTCTTTTGCTCCAGTCAGCCCAACCTTGCTCTCAGCACTTCCCAGTTACCTCTGCTATTAGTTCTGCAAGCCCCGGGTTGCAGAGTAAGAGCCAGCGTCTTGGTGTGATCCCATTGGTTTTATTTTGAAATTTGTCTGGTTCTAGCTCACTGAAGTCCTTGAATCTGCAGATGGAAGAGACAGGCCACTGAATTTGGTTGTAACTGCAGGTTCCTCCTGCAAGCTAGCTGAAGTTCAGAATTACATTTTAGAAGCTAAGTGTAGGCTTACAAAGATGAAATGAAAGGAGGATGCTGACAGCAGCTATGGTTATCATTTTAAATAGAAATTCATTTGCAATTCAAAATATTAGAAAAAGTCTTCATTTAATCACCTCCACCTGACCTCCTGGCACTGTCATATGTATGGTTCAGACTTTTCAGAAGCTTTTTATCCTTTTTTTTTTGGAGAGGGTGGGGAATGGATTCTTAAGCTTATAGTCAGAACTGCTCAGAGAAGAATACTCCCCCCACCCCCACCCCCACCAGAAGGGTTCTTCGTATAGAATAAAATACTTCGAAACATTTTTTTTGCCAAGGACTTTTCTTCATCCCCAAATAAACCGTGAATTTTTTTAGTGTCATTTCATTAATGAATCAATGTTAGACCCTCACACTTTGTTCTTGACAATGTCTGAGTGAATTTTAGCCACGCCGTTCACAGCATGTGAGCCCACAATGCAGAGATGCGCCATGTTGATCCTTTTGCCTCCTTCCTCTTCAATCAGAGACATCCTCCTCAGACGGTCGACATCTTTAGGAAACAAAGCTGCAATTCTCTAGTTAAAAGAAGAGAGAGGCCTTCGTGGATCACTCAGATTTGAAAATTTGGGAATACTATTCACTTCCCAAATAAAATCTTTGATGCAGTGAATATACATCGTCATTCTCAATTTAGCCCTGGTGACATAACCTAACCCTTTCAAAGAGATGTTTTTAACAGAGTCCTCTTCAGATGGGGTTACTCTCGATTTATCAATGTAAGATGTTTGGGCCTCCAGTTTGGTGAGAGTAAAATCACTCTAGGATCTTAAGACCTCATTCTATTGAGAGACCAGTATGATCTCTTAAAGTTACTCACATCTAAATGCTTCTGATTTATCTCATAAATGATTTGCAGATGTCGAGGAAGCAACTTCTCCACCAGCTCCACTGGCCAGCGCTCCAGGGCTTCGGGGAGCACCGTGTGGTTGGTATATGCAAAGGTCTTCTGGGTAATTTCCCAGGCCTGGTAGAAAGGGAGGGTTAGATGCAAGAAAGGCCGCCCTCCGACACCCACCCAATCATACAGGGTTAGACATGGTCTAGACCACATTTGAGGAAGAAAAACTAATGTCCTGAGAAAGTACAAAGAAATGTTTAAGACACTGACTTTTAATGGTGGGAACACTTTGAATCAGCAGTTTTAGGAAAAGTGTTTAACCACAGATAGTCTGATCAATTTAAGGAAAGGCAAATCATGCAGACCTTAGACCAAGGTAATTTTTCAATATCCACAAAAATCCTCATCAGTTCAGGAATGGCGAGTGCAGGGTGAGTGTCATTCAGCTGGATGGCAACCTGTGTGGGGAAGACAAATCAACCTAAAAGATGGCCCAGGATATGTCTTCCTTGCCTCAAGCTGCCTACTAAATTGTTTTAGCACTGAGAGAGAGGTAACTGGATAGAAGACTCTGATCCTTTGGTTGTCCCCACCTTACACACTGAATACTTGCCTGATCTGGAAAGGCATCAAATGCAGTGTGGGCACTGTTGGTGGAGGCAAACTTGGAGGCTTTGAAACGCCGGATGACATCTTGTAAGGTAGCAGCTACTACAAAGTATTCCTGCTTCAATCTCAACTCCTTCCCTTCAAAAAACTTCAAACCAGAGAGACTGAATTAAGAGTGGTCCACATTGTTGTGCATGGGTGGGAAACTTTATGGCCCAGTGGACATCCAGGGAAAAATGGTAAAGCTAAATGTCATGCTTTAGCCTTTGCTTCCACCTGAAAACCCAATAAATGGCAACAAAGAATTTTTTTTTTTTTTTTTAAAGCCATACAGATGAAAGACAGAAGGAGAAAGGAGACCATGGAAACAAATTTTTTGGGAGCTAAAGAGGAGAGAGATGAGTGGTAAATGTCCCAGAAGATGCAAGAAAGCTGAAATGTACAAGACCCGAAACACAACTTAGATATTGGAGCTCACAAACACTAAGGTATGCGCAAAACCTGTGCCTTTAGCAATCAGTGAAGAAATGCAAAAAAGCCGAAAGTTGCCATGTTGAAAGCCCAGGCACAATGGCTAAAAACAGATCCAAACCAAAGCACATCACTGGACATTTTTTGGAGAGAGGGAGATCAAAGCTTCTGAAGGTTAAAGAAAAAAATTTTTAAGGTGTTTTCATGTAAAAGATCAAGAACCAGAATGACATTCTACTTCTGAGTAACACTGAAAACCAAAAGAGAGAAAGATATCAGAATGTTCTGTTTCCAGGCAAACTACTCAAATAAGGCAGATATTTTCAGATATAATAGTTCTCAGGAAAATGAACCTCATACATGCCATTGAAAATCTGTGATTATGAGTGATCCCAAAACAAATATGAGAACCAAGAAAGACAAGGGATCCAGGAAAGAAATGACCCAGTTAAGACTAACGGGGTCCTTCAGAATGAAGAGGAAGGGAAATTACAGCGGAGAGTTGAGCAGTAGACTGTGTAAGAGAGCAAGCAATCCATGAAAGGTTCAGAAGAGACTTTAACAAGAATATTGAGTTAAGGGACATAACATATGCTTGAGGGAAGATTTATACAATTGAGGAAGAATGTAGGATAAATTGGGGAAAAGTACTTGGAAAACCAAGCAGACACTACATGATAAACATTTTATACATGATTTCTGCTAGTGGCAGCATCCGCACAGTTCTAATCATGTAACCACTGTGCAAGGAGCCAGTTAAGAGTTATGACCATGATTATGTTGAAAGAATGGGGGCCAGGAAGTAGTTTCTTGGTGCTGGTGGGAATGTGAGAAAATGAGCTATAGTTGACTATTTTTCTTTTTGAAACTGTAAAATAAACTGAGTTAAATAGAAAATTGATGTCGGTCTTCCTGGTCCATTTTTATATTGCTTATATTTTCTCTAACATCGTATGTTATTGTAAAAGTTATAATAAAGTAATTATTGTAAAAAGCATGATAATCTACACAAAAAAATGTTTATTGAGCTTAGGAAATTTTAAGGTCCTAGATATAAAAGGAGTGACAGAGTAACAAGCATTGACCTGAAGTATTTACTGGGGAGAGAATTGCACGTGTAAACTAAATTTGTCAAGTGCCGTTAAGTCGGTTCTGACTCCTAATGACCCTGTTCAGGGTTCCCAAGGAGCGACTGGTGAGTTTGAACCACCACTGGTGAGTTTGACAACCATATGGTCCAGTGTACCACACTAGTAGTTTGGAAACCCGAGTAATCATGAAAGATTATTAAGAACCTTGAAAGACAAGATTTTCTTTTCAGATGGACACACAGAGCGCAAGTATTCCACGAATGCAGAAGCAACCTGTGAGAAGTGTGCAGGTGAGGAAATACAGGACAGACCTGTACAACAGGAACCTCACTGCCTGGGCAGGATCATGGAAGGTGAGCCCTCTTACTCATGATGATGTCACTGAAGATCTGAGATAACATGCTGAAGATACTGCACTTCTCAGAGAGGTAGTTAGAAGACCACTGGTGACAGACAGAGGACAGGAAGATTCCGGAAGGGAGATTAATGTCTTGACTAGGATCATGACAAGGCTGTGAGGGAATGAATGTTCTTGTAATGACGGTACAAAAATGATTTAAGAACTCACACTACGTATACAATGACTTTTTACATGTCAACTTTATATTTTCAATTACTGTAAAGAAAGGTAAGTATAAATGTACAGTACTCACTGTGGAGTGGGTAAATTAAAATTCTTAAGAGAATTCAAATGGTATTAGTGATTACTTCATTGTTTTGTTCAAGGCCAAAAAATAAGCTATTGTGGGTATACTGTGCATTTGTCAAAACTCATAAAACTACAACATACAAAGTTTAGCCTAATGTGAACTGTGCATAGAAAGGTATACTACCTACTAACTGTTCTGATTCACGTACAAATTTGACTTAAAGATAGACGTAGGAATGGGACTACCTGTGTATAATGTTTGCACAATGGACACAATCATAGAAGGTCCTATTTTACTGTATGTATTGTGGTTAAGTGGCACATAACTATTAGTATTGCTTTAACAATTGCAGCAACTGTACCACACTAACACAAGATGTTTGGGATCCTGGTGCAGTGCTGTGGGATAAGCCACTCCTCATTCAGGGTCACTATGAGTTGAAACCAACGGCACTTAATAAAACAAGATTGTAACAAGACAAATTGTGTAGTGGGGAGAGGGATATATGGGAACTCTACTTTCAGATCCAATTTTTTGTAAACCTAAAACTGCACCAAAAAAATATTTTAAAAGAAGGAATATTTAAAAAGAAAGAAAACCTGAGATTCCCATCTTAAAAATGGAGACACCACATCTGCCACACAGGATTACTGTGAGGACTGCATGCATAACTGAGGGTGTACTTGATACATGGTCACCAGGAAATGTCCTGTGCTTCTGACTTTAAAGACATGGAATCTGTTTGGAAAGTGAGAAGTATTTCACACAATCTTTTATATCCAGTTTCATTTCTAAATACATCCATAGTGCCTCTCTATTAGATATGGGTCATTTGTCAAGGGCAAAATACCCAACTTGAATTGGTGAGTTGTGCAAATTTGCTTCACTTGTGGGGAGGGAAATCTAGACAATTCAGTAAGAGATGTGCTTATTTTGCATGTGAAGAGAGAAATCAATATTAATATGTCTCTGTGATGGTGTTGTATGACAGAGATAGTTCCAACTCACAGTGACCCTGTATAGGGATTCCTATATATGGTTTTCGGGGAACAGAAAGCCTCTTATTTCTTTCATGGAGCAGCTGGTTGATTTGAACTGCTGATCTTGTGGTTAAGTGCCATTGAGTCGGTTCCGACACATAGCGACTCTATGTAGGGTTTCCAAGGAGCACTTGGTGGGTTTGAACCACTGAACTTTTGGTTCAAGGCTGCTGAATATGCTAATCTGAAATAATGCTGCCTCTGCCTCCACTGGTAAATTGGGCTTGATCACTCACATTATCATTGGGATAGAGGACCCGGGAGATGTTTTCAGCCAGGTTTCGATCCAGCACGGCCTGGATGTAGTCTCCAACATTGACTGTGGGGAATGTTGAAAAAACAAATAAACAGAAGCCAGCCATTGCCACTAGAAGCCTGTGTATCTACTGGTGTCACTAGGTGGGTATGGACTGCAGTGAACAACAAAGCCAGAGTGGGTTTGACAAAATGCTTGACTATGAAATTTTTATGCAGTAGTTCAGCAGAAATTAATTTTTATAAAAGAATATCTCTGTAGTTATAACAACAGTTTTTCATAGGTGCAGCTTATATGTATTTAAATCTCCAAGGCTAGCTCGGTGTGCTAATTTACTTCTTACATCTTCTGCACTGTGATCAGAACTGTCTTTAATATTTAATACCCAATTACAGTGATGCTTAGAATCATGGACTGTTGTCTACACGTGCTACAAGCATTTGCTGTTGGTTTTCATTGTTGATGGTGTTTTTGTCAAAACACCTGGTATTTTAGCTACCATATTGTGGTAGTCATTGGTATTTCTGAACCTACATCAAGAATTTTTTGTGAATGAATTAGTAACTAAAGGAAAAGGAGAAAAAGTCTGTAAAAGGGCATCTGCTAAAATTGTAACATATAATGCTATAATTCAATGTGGAAAGATTGCACAGAACAATTGTTAGTATTCATATAACCTAAGAAATAATTACATTTAAGCAATCTACAGCTATGTTTGTGACATGTTATTCTATGATTAAATTGGTAACAAATATTACGAAGATTCTGTATGGTGTGGTATGAGGAGGTCCGTGGGGTGGGGACCCCAGGAGTCATCGTATGGGGTGACACCCACACTAATGCGACTGGGTGGCTCTCACTCTTGTTGCATGCCCTGTGGGATCCCTAAATTTCTAGAAGTCTACAAGCATTTCAGCAAACCCTTATGCTGGACTTCACATTACCTTCACTGAAGACTTCAGAAACTTCATTTGGGATCTAACTAGCAATCCAAACAACTAAACACACACACACAAACCAAAGCCCAGCTGTACTCACAGTCTCTGAGGTTAAAGTCATTTGGCGCCCGAGCAGACCAGAGACGCATGGTGTTGACAGTGTTGTTCATATAGCCAGGCACTGGGGTGTCATATGGCAGAGCCAGGACCACCTGTGTGATTAAACCAAAGTAGCTGCTCACTGTTTCCAAGATAATGATAATGCAGATCGAACAATGGATTGGGGACAACCAACTAGAATTCTGTTCCTGGCTCCTTTGCAAACTCAAATAGTGTGAGGCCTAACCTCAGGGCTGGAAAGGATATTAGAGGGCACATGATTTGTCCTGCCCTATTTGATTTCCTCCATTTCCCATTGGGACAGCCACATCCAAGCTGTTCAGACTGATGGTCTTCTATTCCATATGCACTTCCCTCATGCCCCCTGTCTTGAAATGGAGGCAATGAAACATTGTAATGTGCTATCTACTTCTGATGCTATCTAGTTGACCCATCGTTGTTAAGGGCTTTTGAGTATGTTCCAACTCATAGCAACCCTGTACAGGGTTTCCTAAGAGCGGCTGATGAGTTTGAACTGCTAACATTGCGGTTCAGTGCTTAT